CAATAGCAAAAAGATGTAAACAACCTAGGTGCCCAACAAGAGATGAATGGATAAACTACTGTACATACACACAATGGAATAGTACGCAACGATAAAGAACAATGATGAATCCGAGAAACATCTCACAACAGGGATGAATCTGGAGTGCATTATGCTGAGTGAAATTAGTCAATCGCAAAAGGACAAATATTGTATAAGACCACTATTATAAGAACTCAAGGAAAGGTTTAAACACAGAAGAAAACATTGTTTGATGGTTAAGAAGACGGGGAGGGAGGGAGATGGGAATTCATTAACTAGATACTAGACAAGAATCATCTTAGGTGAAGGGAAGGACAACACGCAATACAGGGGAGGTCAGCACAACTGGACTAAACCAAAACCTATGAAGTTTCCTGAACACAACCCAACACTTTGAGGGACAGAGTAGCTGGGGCTAGGGTCTGGGGACCATGGTTTGGGGGGACATCTAGGTCAATTGGCGTAACAAAGTTGGTGAGTGGCATCTGGGGTCTTGAAAGCTTTCGAGCAGCCATCTAAGATGCACCACTTGGAGCAAAGGAGAATGAAGAACACCAAAGACACAGGAAAATATTATCCCAAGAGACAAAAGAGCCACAGAAACCAGAGAGTCCATCAGCCTGAGACCAGAAGAACTAGATGGTGCCCAGCTACCATCAATGACTGCCCTGACAGCGAACACAACAGAGAGTCCCTGACAGAGCAGGAGAAAAGTGTGGAGCGGAACTCAAATTTCAGACTCAATGATCTGACCGAGACTGGAGGAACCCCCGAAGCCATGGTCTCCGGAAGCTCTGTTAACCTAGAACTAAAACCATTTCTGAAGCCCACTCTTCAAAGATTAGATTGGACTATAAAACATAAAACAATACTCATGAAATGTGTGCTTTTTAGTTCAAGCACATGAGACCAAATGGGTGGCTCTTGTCCAGAGGCAGGATTAGAAGGCAGGCAGGGAGAGGAACTGGTTGATTGGACACAGGAAACCCGGGGTGGAAAGGGCAAGTGTGCTGTCCCACTATAGGGATTGCAACTAATGTCACATAACAATATGTGCGTAAATTTTTGTCTGAGAAATTAATTTGAGCTGTAAACTTTCACCTAAAGTACAATTAAAAAAAAGAAAGAAGGAAAGAAAGAAAAGAAAAGAAAGATCAACAGCCCAAGACTGATTCCTGTGAGGCAGGGAGTCCAACATGCCTCCTCTCTCCATTCAGACACCAACCGTCCCTCCCATTGTGCTCTCTACTTCTCTGTTGGGTTCGATAATGATTCATTGCAATGGCCTCACAGAACTCACAAACGATACTCACGATCATGGGGTTTATTAGGGAAGTGAAAACCATTGCTGTCGAGTAGATTCTGACTCAAAGCAACCCTATAGGACAGAGTAGAACTGTCCCACAGAGTTTCCAAGGAGCGGCTCATGGATTCAAACTGCCGACCCTTTGGTTATCAGCCAAACTCTTAACCACTGTTGCACCAGGGCTCCATTAGGGAAGTTAACAAGTTACAATTCCCGTTCGGCATACAGTTCTTCCATCAGGAGAGCCTCTTCCCAGCCATGCTCGCAGGCACACCTTTCTCTGGCTCTCAGCCTCTATCCTGGTCAGGCAGGAGTTACAAAACTCTTTTAACCCCTCCCAATAAGTCTCCAGAGGCACCCCAGGCACACAGCTTTTTCACTGTCTCCTGCCGTTGTTTCTCTGCCACAGCTTCTGGAGTGTGCTTGCTGGCGCTCTCTCACTTGCGCCCTTGCTCTCTGTCTCCTGGCTCCAAGAGCTTCTCAGCACAGGGACCCAGGGATCCACCCATAGCTGTCCTTCCTTGGTGGTGGTAGGATCCTCTCTCTGCTTTGTAGCTGGCTCTCTTTTAAAGCAAAACTGACCAATCCCCTTGGTGGGCCACAATTACCTTATTTGCACAGTCCCACCCAATAACTTGGGTGGGAGTTACAAGACCACGGCTAGAAAGGCCACACAAAAGCAATCCATGCACCACAAATGGGGTACCATTAGGAAATGGGAAAGGATATCAACAGGCCAAAAAATGAAAAACACCCACCACTGAGATTTCAGGACTTAAAGACCTTGCTTACTATTTTTAACAGTTGTACCGTCTTCCATAATCTATTTAATTATCCTTAATGCCGGACAACTGAAGTGGCTAAGGAGCGAACAGAGGCCTATGAGGACAGGTGAAAAAGAGTAACATTCTTGAAGCTTTAAATTTCTTAAAGTAAATGGCCATGACTCATTCTCATTTGGTAACCTCACTTTGAGAAAGAAAAAAATCTCGTATCTTGCCCAGTGCTAGAGCACATGGTCAATGCTCAGTAAACACGTACTGAATTAGTGAACGATTTTTTGGTTGAAGAAGGCTATCTCTTTTTCTCTTTGGCTTCGACCCTGAAAACAAGTGCTCTCCTACCACCATCTGCTGGCATCAGAAAACCTACAACTATCTCCTGAATTCTGGCCTCCAAAGCCCGTTCGCCTGAGAGTATTATTACCTTTAAAAAAAAAACAAGAAACTGTTGCTGTGGGGTCATTTCTGACTCATAGTGACCCTATAGGACAGAGCAGAACTGCCCTATAGGGTTTCCAACGCTGTAAATCTGTACAGAAACAGACTGCCACATCTTTCTCCTGCAGAGCAGCTGGTGGGTTTGAACTGCCTACCTTTCAGTTAGCAGCTGAGTGCTCAACCACCGCCCCACCAGGTCTCCTCGGGAGTATTTTAATACTCCTGAAATTCTTTCTCCCCTCAATACCATCAGTACTACAGAATCTACCTTTTATCTGTAGACAGGAGAAGTTACAAAGTATTGACATTTTTTTCCTTGTTTTCTATTCAAAGTCTCAGACTTTGGTGACTCCTCTGTTTTTGTTTCTTTACAAGGTAAGGTGTTGAGTAAGCGATAATGAGCCTCATGCCACAGTCCTTTCTCCTGCAGATTGTGTTGTCCTTTGATATTTATTCATCAGGTAGTGCGCTCTTTCTGGTTGGACTAGTTACACAACACATACCAATATGATGCCTTGAGCTGCCAAATCAACCACTAAGTTCATGAGTCCCTACAGGTGTCCACTGCTGTGACAGGTGCTGTAGAAGACACAGAGAAGTATGACACAAGTTCACTGCCCTCAATGAGCACCCAATCTCGTTAGAGAAATAATCAATAAGCCAAACAGTGTACAGGATATAATCTTTAATGATGTCTGTAAGTGTTGATCATCAAATGACATTGCCCTAGACCCTTAGGATAACCTTAGGATAAATAAATACATTGTGCTAGATGTTTGGTAAAGCCTGGAAACATTTTTTATTGTCACAACTGGGGGAGCGGTGGTACTGGCATCTAGTGAGTAGGGAGAGGACAGGGATTCTGCTAAACATCCTACAATGCACAGGACAACTCCTACTACAAAGAATTACCTGTTGCCATTGAGTCAACTTTGACTCATAGTGACCACAGTGTCAGATCAGAACTGTGCTCCATAGGGTTTTCATTGGCTGATTTTTCGGAAGTAGATTGTCAATCCTTTCTTCCGAGGCACCTCTGGGTGGACTCAAACCTTCAACCTTTTGGTTAACAGGCAGGGACTCCAACAAAGAATTAGCTGGCCTAAAGGTAACAGCCTAGAAAACCGTATGGGGCAGTTCTACTCTGTCACATAGGGTCGAAAATTGACTTGACAGCACCTAACAACAACAAAATGTCAATAGTGTCAGAGATTGAGAAACCCCACACTAGACCCTTAGGATCAGTGATGAGCAAGGCAGGCATGATCCCTGCCCTCCTAGTACCCTGAGGAAGACATGTTTAAAAAAATAATAATGTGCTGAGGGAATTCGGAGAAAAAAAAGAGACTACTCTTGAGCCTTCCTAGTCACAAAGTATAATTCATAGAACACCAGCAGTAGCATCACTTTGCAGCGTGTCAAAAATACAGAATATTGACACTCCCTCCTCCCTCTCCCTTCCCCCCACCTCACCCAGCACCTGAATCAGAATCTGCATTTATTTTAACAAGATCCTCAGATGTCTCCTATGCACAGTAATGTTTGTAAAGTGCTGCTCTGAAGGTTTCCAAAGAAGACACGACTTGAGTTGTTTGAGTTGAATTTGGGGAAGACCTGGAGAGAAGCAAGCATATTCCAGGCGGTGAGAGCTATGAGGAAAGTTTTTGAGATGGCAACGAGGCATTTTTAGTTTTTGGTCCAGCAGTAATAGGAACTAACAATGTTGACTGCTTACCATCTGCCGGACACTGTGCTAAACGCTTTATATAGATATCTCATATAAACTCCACAACACTATTAAGCAAACCAAAACTACTGCCGTAGAGTCCATCCCGATTCATACCGAGGTATACGACAGAGCAGAGCTGTCCCATAGTTTCCAAGGTTATAAATCTTTACGGAAGCGGACCGCCACATCTTTCTTCACATCTAACCATCGAACTTTTGGTTAGCACTCGAGTGCTTTTACTACTGCGCCACCAGTGCCCCTTTTAGGTAGGTCCATTATTATACTCATTTTGCGGGTAAGGAAATCGAGGTACAGAGGGGTTAAATAACTTCTCAAGGGCACAGTGATGGAACTCGGCACATGGAATTGGAGCTACATTCTGTGTCACCCTAAGTTGTCCACAATCACCTCCACCCACAAGTGAGAGCCAAAGCCATAGAACCCAGTTCTCTCCACCCAGCGAAGAAATTATCCCGAACTTGTCCGTATTGCTTTCCAGAGCCGAGCAGCTGAGCTGGAGCCCGAGGGGCGGCGCCAACGCTACAGCGAAAGTCGTAGATGCATTGTGGGAAGCGTTTCATTGTTTACAGCCTTGTAAGAATATAAAGGAAAAGGGCTGGATTTTGAAGATGACATAATCTCTAAAAAGCTGCGAAGAGGTGCGAATGAAGCTTTGTGTAACTTTTGGCAGGGATCAGGGTTAGTAAGACCTCTTGGCGGTTCACTGATAGTCAGCCGGCGCCGTCTGTCCGGGTCCTCCAGCATGATCTAAAATAGGCGTCTCTATGGTCGAGTAAACCTAGAGCGATTCCTCGCGTCCCACGTGCTGGGACTGCGCATGAGCAATAGACGCACCATTGGAAAGATGGCGGAGGAAGAGTGAGTATTTGGGGCTTTGAATACCTGGAGCGGGGCTTTGAGCATCTGGTGCCATCTGTAGTCTTTAAGCCTCGGTGGCGAAAAATAGGGCTACTTGTGGGTTGTAGGAAAAGACAAGACTTCAGATACCAGAGGGTGGGAGTGAGGAGTGGGGAGCTGTAGGGCTGGATTGGGCGGGCAGAGGGGGCCGCCGTTAAGTTCGGATTACCCAAGAGGGGAGAATGTTCAGTTTCAGGCAGCGGGCTGGAGAGTGCCAGAGTTGGTTCTCCCAGCCACATCTATATTCACCCTGCAGATGGGTGTGCATCCGCCCCAACCCCACAGAGTTTTACTAGAATCTCATCGCTACAAGTGTTTACGAAAGATTGTGGCAGTAAAAGCCTCATTGAGTATGTGAGGCCAGTAGCCAAGGGGTTCTTCTAGGCTTCGAGAATGAGTGAATGTTAAGGGGTCCGTTTTTAGGACTGGAGTCAGAAACTACAGGTTTCAGGGGAGGCTCAGCCCTTGCGAATTTGAAGACGGTGATGTTCCCGGAAGCACAGAATATTGAGTTGGTTTGAAAATCCATTGAAGGTTCATTTCCCAAATATTATTATTCCTGATCTCATATTTACTGTATTAGGCCAAGAAGAAAGATCCCTTTGGTTCCAGAAAATCTCCTGAAAAAGAGGAAGGCTTATCAGGCCCTCAAAGCCACCCAGGCAAAGCAGGCACTTTTGGAAAAGAAGAAGGTAATGGTGGGGAGCCAGGAGGAAGGAATTAGAATTTTAGAATTTGTATTTGGTTTTATCCCACATGTGCTAAACTAAGATTTGGTACCGACTACCCCCTTCCTCATCAATTTGATTACACCAGGTACATGGTTCATTCAGAAACCCTGGTGGCACAGTGGTTAAAGCGTTCAGCTACCAGCTGCTCTGCGTGAAAGATGTGGCCGTCTGCATCCGTAAAGATTTACAGCGTTGGAAACTGTACGGGGCAGTTCTACTCTGTCCTATAGGGTCGGTGTGAGTCGGAATCTGCTACATGGCAGCCGTTTGGTTTTACATGGTTCATGTCCTCATTTTGCAAATACTTTTTGAACACCTGTGGGGAAAATGCTGGAGTGAGTTTGTTAAGAAGGGAGTGGAGGCTAACTTCTAGGTTCATTTTGAGTGAGCAGAAAACGTGTTTTAGGAGAACAACTTGTCAAACAATTCTTTGTATTTGCTAAATGTTTTTGGAGAAAAGTACGAAAGTATTTTGGAGGCAGGAATTTTAGCTCATTCTTGTTTTGTACTATTTTGTGCCTAACACAGTGTTAGGTTCCAAAAACACTTGTTGGGAAACAGCATGTGAACTCATTTATTTGGTTGTTTATCAAGGACTTTCCCCAGTAATTTCTGAGTCTTCTCAACTCCACGTTTACTTGGGTTTCTCACTTTCTCCTTATATAAAAATCAAGGATGTTTGTTTGCTCCCCTTTGCAGAGCACAAGGGGAAATTAGCTCATCAGTAGTGACTCGTGACAAATGGAGGCAGAAAATGGTGATGGTATGTCTTTTCTGTAGCAGAGGAAAGGGAAGGGGCTCAGGTTTAAGCGACTGGAATCGTTCCTTCTTGATTCCCGGCGACAGCAGCGTGACAGGGTGCGCATCAGACGACTAAAAGTGAAACCTCACGGCTTGGAAGTGCCGGACGGACATTCCTTGGCCTTTGCAGTACGCATCCAAAGGTAGGGAGGGAACTGGTGTCTTGACAAACCCATGGGTCTGGAGCAAACTATTGGTTCACCTTTAAACCACTCTTAGGGTGATGAGAAGGTAGTAGGCCCTAAGCCACTAAGACAAATTGTGCTAGGAATTCATAGTTCAGCAAAACACGTAGTTTTTGCCTTCAAGGTTAGGGAGACTGACCTTAGGCAAATAAACTAAGTGCCATGATGGTAAAGTGCAGGATGCTTTGGGTGAGGGAGGAGCTGGGAACACCCTCTCTAAAGCAGGACCTTGAAGCTGAGACCTGAAAGATACGAAAAGAGAAAGGAGTTCCCAGTGGTGGGGAAGGCTTTCCAGGCAGAGATGCAAAAGTCCTGAGGTGGGGGCAACAAGGCACCTTTCCAGGGGCTAAAACAAGGCTAAGTGGGTAGAGTATAGCCAGTGCTGGGGAAAATGCATTTTTCCCTATCAGCCTTTTCCATACATAGTGCTTCCTTCCTTACCCATCCCTACTTGTAAATAGAACTCTGCCGCTTCCTTTTCACCTACCCAATCCCCCAAACCAGAAACCTGTGTGTTTTAAATATTATGAGCTCTGTCCCCTTTAGCCCTCCTACCATCATCCATAATCTCTTTACTGGACTATTGCATTAGCTTTCTGACTGGGTTTTCCTGCCTCCAGTGTCACACTCTCAAATCTGCTCTATACGCAGCCCTCAGTGATTGTCAGAAATAAATCTTTACTTAAAATCTTCTGTAGTTTTTACTGCCCAGAGAAGCAAATCTCAGCTTCCTTAACGTACATAGCCTTACATACCCTCTCAGGTACCATCTCTGTGTTCCCATGGCAGCCTAGGCATTGCCCACGTCACAAGGAAACAATCTGTTCACTAAATGCCTCTCCCTAAATAGCTCTTGAAGGAACCTGTTTCTTACTCCCTGGATACCCAGTGTAGTGGCACACATTCTATAAATGTTTGCTGGTCTGACATAAACTAGATGGAGCCTGACTCTTTTGCTATTGTCCACTTCAGGATTAATGGGGTGAGCGGTCTGGTGCGGAAGACCATCGCAAGGCTTCGCCTGAGGAAGATTTTCAGTGGTGTCTTTGTCAAAGTGACCCCTGTAACCCTGAAAATGCTGCGTACAGTGGAACCTTATGTAACATGGGGGTAAGATTTTCTTTGTGAATTCACATTAGATTGTACGTGAAGGTGTTGAAGGAGTATTTTGCTGTGGCCACAGTGACCAGAAATCAATTGGCAGCCCCGAGAACCTTGAAACATAGGGCAGGTTGGGGGTGAGGTCAGGACTGCTAATAATAGTCTGCACAGTACATGGCAGGCAGAGCTTGTTCAGTTGTGGGCTAAGGCTGAGTAAGATGGGTAGAGGAGAGATGAACTCTCAAGGTCTTGAAGCAGAATTTTGGTCAGTGCTTGTGTCAGACCACAGTTCCTGAGGAACAGACAAGGCTAAATCAACCTCAAGCATTAAAACTCAACAGGATTGGGTTTAATTTCCAGCTCTTGCACCATCTTGAGGAGAGGGTCACCTCAAGTCAAAGCTCTAGACTCTTAAGCTAGGACACGTTTTATTTTTGTCTGGTGAACATTTATATGCAGAAATTTTAGTTTCTGTTAATTACATAGTCAGGGCCACTCTGGTTTTTCGCCTTTCTCCAGAAAAGTGGCTGGGAGAACCTTTTCTCCTTGGCCAGACTACAGAACTGAGTGGCCAGGGTGATGCAGTGTGCCAGGGGCTGGCTAAAGCTGGACTTTATTCTGCTCACATAGGTTTCCAAATCTGAAGTCTGTCCGGGAACTCATCCTGAAACGTGGCCAAGCCAAGGTCAAGAATAAGACCATCCCACTGACAGACAACACAGTGATTGAGGAGCACCTAGGTGAGTGCTGCAGCTGAGGGGTCATTTGGCAGAAAGCAGAGGTCTTTGGTGGTCTGGATGTGGGATCCCAAAAACCTGCCAGAGTACCCAGCTTGGGCACGCAGGAGGCTCTCAGTATATGCTGGATTAATGTGGGATAAAGGAATCTTTGCTCTTATGTTTCTTAGGGAAGTTTGGTGTCATTTGCTTGGAAGATCTCATTCATGAAATTGCCTTCCCGGGGAAGTATTTCCAGGTGATCTCACAGTTCTTGTGCCCTTTCTACCTCTCGGTGGCCCGTCATGCTACCAAGAATAAAGTGGGCTTTCTCAAGGAGATGGGCTTACCTGGCTATCGTGGTGAAAGCATCAATCAGCTCATCCGGCAGCTGAACTAGACCCAGGTAAGGCTGTGCTGGAAACTGCCTTTCAGGCTGGCTTTTGGTGGGGCTGTGCCTTGCCACAGAGCTCTGGTGGTGCAGTGGTTAAAGCGCTCAGCTGCTAACTGAAAGGTCGGCGGTTTGAAACCACCAGCAGCTCAGCAGGAGAAAGATGTGGTAGTCTGTTATCCATAAAGATTTACAGACTTGGAAACCCTTTGGGATGGTTCTACTCTATCCTGTAGGGTCGTTGTGAGTCAGAATCAACTCAGTGGTAGTGGGTTGGGTTTGGTTTTTTGAGTGCCTTGCCGCTTAAAAGTTCTTTTTGCACTTACCTGTATTTGAGAGTAATGTCGGCATTGTGGGTAGAGAAAGGAGGCTGGTATTTACAAGTCTAATGGATGGAGAGTTGCTTGGATCAGTGAATACCAGATTTAGGATACAGGGTTATGTATCCCAACAGTAACAGGCTAGAAAATATTAAGTAACAAAATAACTATTGTGTATTGTTGCAGTCATCTAGCTGGAAATGGGGAGAGAAAAACAAACTAATTTCAAAAGGATTTGAAGACCTAAATCATCTTTTTTGTTGAAGGAATCTGTCTTAGGCTGGGTTCTCTAGAGAAGCAAAGCCATAAAGCATATAAATGTACGTATAGAGAGATTTATATCAAGGCAGTAGTTCGTGCAGTTGTAGAGACTGGAATGTCCCAAGTCCGTGGGTCAGGCTGGATGCTTCTCCTGATTCACATAGTTGCTGGGCTGGTGAACCCAAGATCGGCAGGTCATAGAGCAGGGCTGTTGCGCACACGCTGCGAACATCGACAGATACCAAGATCTGCAGGGAAGACCGCAGGTAAGCTGCTAACTCAAGTCCCAGGAACTGGAAGTCAGACGAACGGGAGCCAGCTGCACGATCCAGAGCAAGCAAAAGCCATGAGCCTTGCCAGAATGTCCACGCAGGCCACACACGCCCAAGGAAACTCCCTTTCAGCTGATTGGCTGCTTACAGCAGATCCCGTCATGGGGGTGATCACAACATCACATGACTGCCAAACCACTGAGAATCATAGCCCAGCCAAGTTGACACAGTCTTAACCCTTTTGAAATTGTTTTTATTGTTGTCATTCTTAGGTGCCAAATTGGAGTAAATGTATATTAATGCAGTTGTATTTTTCTTCCTCAGAATATCTGAAAGCACAGTGCATTGGAGGCATGTGTTTCTATTTTCTGAATTGTCATCAAGTATCTTCAAAGAAGATTATTTTCTGCTATGTTTTCAGAAACTGGAGGGGAAAGGACAGTGGGTGTGTGCATGGCAGGCACCTCTCATATCACAGCCCAGTCCCAGAGAAAAATGCCAGTGTTTTCCACATGGCCACTGCCGCCTCTGAAATCAGCAAAGGACTCACAGTTGCCCTTGAAGAGGGAGTTCTGCTTTGTCACATCTTTTATCCTGGGATTTAATGTTGGTGAATACCCAAGCATGTGTACAAGGCTCTCCAGGACCCCTGCAGCAGTGGACCAAGCCCAGGGACATACTTGACTTGGGGGATCCTAGGGCCTTGTCTTGGAAGGAACTTGAAATCCAATTAGAAGTGCACACAAACAAGTACTCAGTTGTCTCTGTTGTGAGTCCGTGTTCCAGCGTTTTCAGTGACAGATTTGAGAGCTTTCAAACTTGGCTAGCTCTAAGAATGTATCGAGTGGTTTCCTTATCCTAGCCTGCAGCTGGCTTAGCCTTTTTCTCCAACTCAGGATTTTAACCTATTCTTGAGTTACAGAGCTTGTTGAGGATCTATGAGAAGGACCTCCTTCCCCAGGAAAATATTCTTGGAATTTGAGGATGTTGTAGACCGTTCTCCTCAGGGACACTCATGCACTTATGGAGGAAGTCCTGCTCTACCAGGATTGGTCAGCCAGGTTCCTGCCCCTGGTAGTCTTCTGGCTCCATATCCTGTAGAGGACCAAAACTTAGAAAGATAGCTTTTTCCCTTCAATTAGGTGCTTCATACTAAGAACACAGTGGTAGGTGCCCAAGATCCCCACACCATCTCCAACTGGGGAAATGCCCACCTTGTTTCTGCCAGGGTTCAGGGTGGAATCTTCTAAAACTCAGATCAGGAAGGAGTGAACCATTTTCTTTGTTTGGCATGGATGAAATTAGCACTACGGGTATCTGGTCTTTTAGGCCCTAGGCAGGGCAGCTTATTTAGACCCTTCTTGGTGTTGCTCTTTCCTTAAATATTCTTGAGCTTCAGAAGTGTGGCCCTCTGCCCTGCTGACAGTGATGTAGTAGACCAACAAAAGGGAAGGGCTTCTGGGGGTGTTAGACCTGAACAGAGGGGATCTGGTCCTGCTTGTCTTTATCAATGTCCACTCTGAAGGAGCCTGCCCTTTCAACTTCCAGCTAAGCAGTTGAGGTGTACTAGACCAAGGTTAAGTTTTAACTGTTGTGTCCTCTGGTCCCTTCAGATCAGTTTTGCCGCAATTTTGGCTTATGGGAATCTCAAACATAGCTGTGAGATTGAGTTAGATGTATGACAATGCCTTAAAATGTGCCAGATTATGAGGTAATTAGGTTGCTTGGCTCAAGAGTTAATGGCTTACACTGTAAAGCATTGTGAAATCAGATTTCTTTACAATGATGTATCACAAAGTCATGGGAAAAAAGTAGTTGTGAGGCTGGAAGTCTAGGGTTTATGTTCCAAGTCTATCTTGTACTAATTGTGGGAACAGTGTTTCCACTCTTCACTATAAACTGGGGCTAATAGCATCTAGCCTGTCTGCTTCACAGGGTTGTTAAAAGGGTTAAGTGGAATAGTTTTCTAACTTAGAATTTTGTATAAATAAAAGATCAAAAATTTTATGCACTGTTGCTTAGTGTACCATAATAAACTATTTCCTGAAAATGTGGATTATTATTTATGGGAAAGCTAGAGCTATATAGTCTGTAGGTTAACGTATACCAATGAGTTGTTGACATTCAGTGTGCACCTGTTAGGTTCTAGGTTTGCAGGGAAAACAAAAGTTTTGGGGAGCAAGAGTAGGTGCAGTGAATCGCACGACCTATTAACCAGAACATCGTGGGAGTGTTTCCTCCTTGCTCTAAATCTCTAGCTCCCTCCCTGACCTAGCTGGTTCAAGAGCCAAGGGTTCTAGGGTTTTTGTTGTTGGTTGGCTTTTTTTTTTCTTTTTTTTTTATGCTTTGGAATTTCAATTTAACAATTTTTTGTAAAGTTATTTGCACTGCACATGGTACAAAATAAAGGCTTTGAGTGGTCTGCGGTCTCTTTCCCATCCCTATTAGCAGTTTCTCATGGGATTTTTCCAGACAAAATCTATGAATACACAAACTCACGTATTTAAAGCATGGTAGACCATGCACACTGTCCACATCCCTGTATTTTTGTTCACTTTTAATGTATCTTCAGAAGTCTTCCTGAGTGTAAGTTTTATGATCAAAACTTTTATTAGCCACTCATCTGGAGAATGGCTGTCTAAAAACGTGATTTAGATCCCAAATTCACTTTTCCACTACTACTAGGATAAGGAATTGTTAGACCCTAGACAGTCAAATCCCGTTAGTGCCTCCCAACTAGCAATCTGTAAACGAAGAAACATGGAAGCGTCAAAGACAGTAAAGACTTGCTACAATTACACATACGAACTGAAACTAGATTTTTTTTAAGGTTTTTAACTGAGGATCATGGTCTAGAAACAAGGAAACAAAACCACCCTGATGATGCTCCCTGGAGGATTTCGTTGAGACAAGTCATGGTGAGTGCACAAAAGGTGGATAACGGTGGCCAGTAACCAGAGTCGCCAGTTCATGCAGAACAAAGGCCCACCAGATCTGAGCTGCAAAGAACCTCGAACTTCAGGAACCACCATGTGCCATTTAACACGGCGCAGCTGATGCCTCGGCCGAGCCGGGCTCCTCCGGGGCCGTTCCTTTACCCGAGAGTCGGCGGCGGACGGGAAGCGACAGAGTCGGTGGCCTCCCAGGGCTTGGGCCTCCGCGGGAGCCGGGACGCCGTGGGCTCGCCCTGGGTCGCTACGATGTTGTGTCTCTCTAGGCCCGGGAGCTCCTGGCCCTGCTGGACCAGCTGCAGGAGTTGCGTCAGGGTCACCGAGGCCGGGTCAGACTGCACGGCTGTGGGAACGCTGGCCGAAGCTGTCGGACTGTGGGCCCGCTCCATGTTGGGCAGCGAAGCTTGACCGGCGAAGGGGAAAACAAACACTTCCGGGTGGTATGGGTGCAACCACTGCCGGAAGAAATGCAGGGGAGGTCGTAGATCATACCAAGCCGGCCGGGGTGGGGGGAGCACTTGAGAACCTTGACCGATTCCGCTCAGAAATGCTTCACACACGTGCACAATTTAGCCCACCCCCAGAACCCCAAAGTGGAACGTGCATTAGGAGAAAAAGAGATGTTGCGCCAAAACTTGAAGGCTTGCACAGAATGCATACAGACGCTGATACAGGCAAAAAAACCCATGTTTGCACGTTGCACACTTGCATAGCACTGCACACATACCTACTTTCATGCACAAGCAGAAATGCGCACACACAGCGCACGTGCGTGTATAGACACATGGCAGGGGGTCAATCCCCATTCGGTTTCCTCAGCGCTGTACAGAAAATACCTGTGGGGCTGTCCCCAGTGGCTTCAGGAGAACTGGGAACACCACTGCAGAGCGTCACCGCTGTCTTCCCATTTCCTGCCATCCCGACCCTATTCCTGGTGCTCCCAAAGGGAATGGGAGAAGGTGAAGGCAGGTCAGGTGTGCTACAGCCACTCTGGCGGCTAAGAAGGTCAGTGCCAATAATTCTCAGGTTTCTAATTTATCAAAAGCGAGCCTAGAATATATAAGGAACTCCTACAACTCAACGGAGAAAAGATTGAAGGTGTTAAGGATTTCGTTTTACTTGATCTGCAATCAACACCCATGGAAGCAGCAATCAGGAAATCAAACGACGCATTGCACTGGGCAAATCTGCTGCAAAAGACCTCTTTAAAGAGTCACTTTAGGGACTAAGGTGCGCCTGACCCCAGCCAGGGTGTTTTTAATAGCCTCATATGCATGTGAAAGCTGGGCAATGAATAAGGAAGACTGAAGAAGAATTGACAGCTTTAAATCATGGTGTTGGCGAAGAATACTGAATATACCATGGACTGCAAAAGAACGAACAAATCTATCTTGGAATAAGTTCAGCCAGAATGTTCCTTAGAAGCAAGGATGGCGAGACTTCATCTCACACACTTGGACATGTTATCAAGAGGGACCAGTCCTTGGAGAAGGAAGGACATTGTGCTTGGTAAAGTAGAGGCTCATGGAAAAAGAGAGAGACCCTCAACGAGATGGATTGGCACAGTGGCTGCAACAATGGTCTCAAACATAACAATTGTAAGGATGGTGCAGGACCAGGCAGTGTTCTGTTCTGTTGTACGTAGCGTCGCTCTGAGTCGTAAGCCCCTCGACGGTACCTAACAACTCAACAACAAAAAGACAACCCAATTTAAAAATGGCTAAAGTTCTTGAATAGACATTACTCCAAAAAAGAGATGCAAATGGCTAACAAGCACATGAAAAAATGTTCATTAGGGAGATGCAAATCAAAACCACATTAAGATACCACTTCACACTCATTTAAAAAAAAAAAGTTGCTGTGGAATTGACTCTGAGTCATGGTGACCCCATGTGTTACAGAGGAGGACTGTTCCATAGGGTTTTCTTGGCTGTGGTGCAAGCAGTTGGCAATCAGCTACTAACCCAAAGGTTGGTGGTTCAAACCTACCAGCATTTCCATGGAAGAAAGGCCTGGCAAACTACTTCCATAAAGATTACAGCCAAGAAAACCTCATGGAACAGTTCTATTTTGTAACACATGGAGCTGCCGTGAGTCAGGGCTGACTGGACGGCAGCTAACACCAACAACAATTTTAACACATGGGGTCACTATGAGTTGGAATGGACTAGACTGCAATGGGTTTGGGGTTTTTTGTTGTTGTTTAATCTTAGCAGAAGCAGATTGCCAGGACTTTCTTCCACAGTACCACAGGGCAAGTTTAAACTGCTAACCTTTAGGTTAGTAGTCAGTAGTCGATCGCAAACTGTTTGCACCACTTAGGGACTTTTCACACCCACTAGGATAGCTATTATCAAGGCACACACACACACAAAAAAAAAAAAAAAAACACCAGAAAATAACAAGTGTTGGTGAGGATATGGAAAAATTAGAACCCTTGTGCATTGCTGGTGAGATTGTGAAATGGTGCAGCCACTGTGGAAAACAGTTTGGCAGTTACTCAAAAACTTAAACATAGAATTACCTTATGACCTGTCAACTCCACTCCTAGATATGTATCTCAAACACTTGAAAGCAGGGGCTCAGACAGATACTTGTACACAAATGTTCATTGCAGCATTATTCACAAGTTCCAAAAGGTAGAAACAACCTGAGTTTCCATCAGCAGATGAGTGGATAAACCAAACTGGTATAGCTATGCAATGGAATATTATCCAGCCGTAAAGAGAAAGGAAGTTCTGATACACGCTGTGACGTGGATGAACCTTGAACACCTTATGCTAAGTGAAATAAACCAGACACAAAAGGACCAATATTGTATGATCCCACTTATGTGAAATATCTAGAATAGGCTAATGCATACAGACCAAAGTAGGTTGGTGGTTACCAGGGGCTAGAGAGAAGGAGGAATGGAGAGTTATTGTTTAATGGGTACAGAGTTTCTGTTTAGGATGATGAAAAACAGTGGTGATGGTTGTACAACATTGTAAATGTAATTAATGTCACTAAAGTGTACCCTTAAAAATGGTTAAAATGGAAATTTTTTGTTGTATATATATAAAGCCATAATAAATTTTTTAAATTAGAAAAGTACAGCTATCATCTATATAAGACCAAATACATTTACTCAAAAACACAGAAAAGAAGGCAAGGGGGCAAGGAAACTAGATTACTGGAAACAGAACAACCAGAATGGAAATAATGAGAAAGTTGACACACTGAAAAATACAACCAATGTCACTGAACAAATTGTGCAGTAATTGTTAAACGGGAGCCTAATTTGCTGTGTAAACTTGCACTGAAAACACAATAAAATATTTTCATTTTAAAAAAAGTAAAATTAGCCTAATCTGGTGAATAGCACCTTAATCAAGTAACCAAAGTTGAATGACTATTAGTAGGACAAACTGACATACGTGCATCCTGATGTGCTGCACTGAGAAGAACCTAACATCTCTTCTCCAGTATTCCTGCTGGAATGGTCATCCTGAGTCTAATCTTGAGGAAACAGTCAGACAAACCAAAGTGACTGGCCTGGACTCTACAGATGTCAATGTCATAAAAGACAAAGAAAGGAAGGAAAAGAAAAGGCTGAGGAACTATCCCAGATTAGAGACATGACAAGTAAATGTGATGTGTGGTCCTGAATTGGATCCAGGATGGGGAAAAAAATTAGCTATGAAGACATTTACCCTTAGGCAAATTTGAATATGATCTGTATATTAGATGATAGTATTATCTATTAACTATTAACATTATCTATTAACTATTAATATCTAAGATAACTATATATTTATTACCTATTATTACTTTTATGTTATATATAATATATTGGTGGCATAGTGGTTAAGAGCTTGGCTGCTAACCAAAAGGTCAGTAGTTCAAATCCACCAGCTGTTCCTTGGAAACCCTGTGGGGCAGTTCTACTCTGTCCTATAGGGTCGCTATGAGTTGGAATCAACTTGATGGCAATGAATTTTTTTATATAATAGATTAACATTACCTATTAGCTACTAATATTAACATTTTCAACATTAAATTCCTTGAGTGTGATAATTGTGCTGTGGTATGTGGGAGAATGGCCTTGTACTTAGGAGATATATGCTGAAGTATTTAGGGGTGAAATGTCAGGATGAGAGAGAAAGAAAGCAAATGTGGCAAAATAGTTAAGAACTGATTAATTTAGATGAAGGTTGGAAACTTGTTAAAATAAAAGGGGGGCTCAAAAATCCAGTCTGGAGAAGACAGGCCACCCTGAATGAAGGAAGAACTCATCCCTCTCTCTGTGGCCTGGGTCAGTCCCTGGGTCACCTCCTAGAGTTCTTGCCCTAAAGATTCCCTCCTAACTTGTCAGTTCACTTTTCTTTCTCAGATAACTTGGCCCTGGCTCCACTTCCAGCGTCCTAGCTAGGGAGCACTGGTTTTCTGCTCCACCATTGTCTTCTTTCCTGATGGACAAGTGCAAGATGAAAACATCTCTATGAAGTCAAAACCAACCTTGGGTGTCTTCCCAGGCACTGTACGGATCAAGTTTGCTCAGAGTTAGGGAACGTGATGTGTGTGTGTTTGGGGGGGCCATCTCAGGTCACCATTTTTCTTCTTTCGCATTCTTTCATTTTATCCTCAGCACAACCTAGGAATCAGGGCTTGTCAGGAGAGACCTCAAACACACCATTGAGTCCAACCCTCTTGTATACAGAGCAGTAAACTGAGCCTAAGAAAGGGAGTAACTGAGGTGGGGTTGCCATAGTTGTGCGTGCAGAAACCAGGGATGCAAAAGAAAGAAAACTGAATAAATCCACAAAGACAAAGGCATTTCCATCCAAGGACTTCCTGAGTCACCAGGGCACCCAAGGCTAAGAGGTTATCCCCTGTAGAGGGTGCCAGGGCCAGATGTCAACCTCTAAATTTAGAGATAGGTTCCAAATACCCCTAAGCTCATTTATAACGCATTAGACATCTGTCATCATGATTTTTTTTTTTTTTATTCTATCCCATTAGGAAATGCCCTTCCCTTTTCCCCAGTTACTGAAACCAGTTCTTCCTTCAAGGGGTTTTCTTCATTGAGCCCACCTTCCATCGTTGCCATATGAATCAATTGATGCCTTTTCTGAGCTCCCACAATCCCTCGCTTGCCTTCTATCCACACATTGTCTCTTTCATTAGACTGTGAGTCTTACTCATCTAGTTTTTCCATGTGCCTAGACCAGAGACCTGGAGTCCCTGGGTGGCATAAATAGTTAAGCATTCAACTACTAACTGAAAGATTTGAGGTTCAAACCCACCCAGTGGCACCTCGGAATAAAGGCCTAGTGATCTGCTTCTGAAAGGTCACAGCCTTGAAAGCCCTGTGGACACAGTTCTGCTTTGCGCAGATAGAGACCTAGTCATGCTCAGAAAATGAAAATTAAATGACTGAGAGGCACATGGCCTATCCAGGGAAAAATTCACAGAAGTACGTTATTATGGTAATTATGACACTCATATAATTTATTACATAAAGAACATGTACCTGAAGTGTCAGTGGTGCTATGTGCCAACTAGAACAAGGAGGTCGCATGTTATATTGGTGTTTAAATGTAGCTAATCTTACCAGCACACACACATATTCACACACACACACATTCACGGTCAACTGTCAGCCTGCTGGGCTGGCCCAAGCCTGACTCTGCAGCCAGATTGACCACCTCTGGCACTTACAAGCTGTGGAATTTTGGAGCAA